CACCCTGGGGTTCTGTTGCTGTACGGTGTTTCTTTTTTTTCGGTTTTTAGGTTCCTTCTGCAGCCTCTGGGAGATTCGGTTCTCAGTTCGCTTGCTGGCTGGCCCCATTATGATTGTTGGGCAAATTTTAATGATGCCATTGGGCTTAATGAAATTATTGTTAGTTCAGCAAACAAGAAAGCCCATTTTCGTATGCGGGCTTAGGAGAGAGGATGGGATTAAATGGCAGGATGGCTGGTAGGCCCTGAATTGAATATGCACATGTCGCCCGTTTGGCTGCCTCATTTTGAATGCTTATTCCATATCGCTTTGGCGCATTGAAAAAGTGGGGATCATATATTTTAATTTAAGTTTGCAGTAAAAGTATAAAAAGTAGTTTTGGACCTTTCTATAAAAATCTTTTAAACAAACAAATTAACCAGAGTATTATTTTCAAATATTTTAAATACTTGTTTAATTTGTAAATACTAGAAATTTAATATAACAAACTAAGCTTTTGAGTAGGTACTATTATAAAATGAAAGATTACATTTTTTTTACATTCTGCAGATGTGCAGTCTTTCTCTGAGTGCCAAACTTAATGGCATTCTCATCTTGCCGTTTTCCCTTTGTTATGCTGTGCGAAATTTTATAACTGTTTAAGGTCGTGGTGGGTGGCAGGTGGAAGCTGGCCCCGCTTGACGTCACTCGGAAAGCCAAATTGATGTTTAACTATTGATGCTTCTTGTCCGGGTTGGTATCTGGTGGCCTAAAGATGGCTTCGCAGCCCTCCTGGCGAACATAGCCTGCTTATGTTTATCGTTATTGTATCGCATGAAATACGACTCCCCATGCTTGTTGGCCAAAGATAAAGGGGGCGGATGGTTGGAGGCGCTCGAATGGTCAATTATTTGGGGCGTGTCGGACTAAATATCAAAATTTGATGGGTTTCTGATGTAAGATATTGCACTTATTCGGGCTATTGGAATACTTAAATAGGGTAGTAAATAATACAAAGTTGCTATTGAAAATATTTAATCAATGTTTTCATTTGTTGGCAGGTCGCTCCTTATTGAGATTAAAAGCTTATGAAGATATTTTCATTTTTTCTCATTCAACTGAAATGTTATATTGTAATTCCATCAGTAACTTACTCGTTGTTTATGTATTTCAAACGAACATCGGAAAATTTAACAAGAGAGAATGCTATAGTCGAGTACCTTGATTATGAGATACCAGCGACATTTAGCGGTTATTTAATTTTGTGCTCATAACTTTGTAATGGACTGTCCGATTTAAAAACTTTCGTCTACATTTTTTAGTATAATTAAACACAACCAAATGGCATTTATATTTTTACAAAATCTGTAAAGATAAAATGGGAGAGGCGTTCGGTTTACACAAAATTGCGCTGCGTAGGAATCCCAAAGGGTCGGAATCGGTTCCTTTTACATACTTTTGCACGAATGCAATATACCCTTTTACTCTACTCTACTCTCTAAAAAGCAGGGATCGCAAGTAAGAGTTACTTTTTTAAAAAAATTGACAAATAATTTTTATTTTTCAATTTTTATTATAAAAGTTGACAAATAACTCTTATGCTTCAATTTTTATTATAAAAATCAACAAATAAGAGTTATTTGTCAACTTTTATAATAAAAATTGAAAATAAAGATTGAATTGATATAACTCTTGAACTGTACGGTACATTGGTTTAAAATTTATATATATATAATCTACGCTTTAATACCTTTCTGTTGATATGCCATATGTCCCCAAAATATTTTTTATAATAATAATATTTGTTACATCATAAAAAATATTTTGGGGACATATGGCATATCAACAGAAAGGTATTAAAGCGTACATTATATATATTTAAATTTTAAACCAATGTACCCCACAGTTTAAGAGTTATTTCAATTCAATCTTTATTTTATTATAAAAGTTGACAAATAACTCTTATTTGTTGATTTTTATAATAAAAATTGAAGCATAAGAGTTATTTGTCAACTTTTATAATAAAAATTGAAGCATAAGACTTATTTGTCAACTTTTATAATAGAAATTGAAAAATAACACTTATTTGTCAATTTTTTTAAAAAAGTAACTCTTACTTGCGATCCCTGCTAAAAAGCTAGGGTATAACTTTAAACTTGACTGAATTGACTGACAATATTTTAAAGCTAAAAAACACCCCAGCGCATTCAAATTTCATTTACCAATCGTAGATTTTTAAAGTTATTTTTTTTCAATTTTTTTTGGTTGATAGGCTTCAAAGTTTACTTTATATGCCTGGAAACGACATGTAAGCCAAAATGAGTGTTTCTGGCTGTCAAAAATGAGCTAAATAAATAAAACTATCATGAATTTCTGTCATACTTTATAATCAGCTTTCTTTGTTTTGGATATACTAATACTTTTGAGCATTTAAAGCTTGTTAAATATTTTTCTTGTTTGTAAATTAGCTTTAATCTAGCTTAGTGCACTGGGATTTAAGGACTTTCGTTTCGCCAACAATGGGGGCTTGTATGGAGTGGACCTAGAAGGGTTTGCTTTAGGTGGCTGGCTGGACTGCTGGGTTGTTTGGGATGGATGCTCTGTTCCCATCGTGGACAAACAAGCAGGCAACCAATATTCATGCTCCAATTGCAGGGAAAACAATGCCGGCGGAGTGTTTATATTTAGCAAACGCTGGGGGATACAGGCGGCGAAATAGGGGAAAGCAGAGGAATAGGGAGCCGAGGTAAAAGGGGACTGGCTAAATTTAATTCGAAAATGCATCAGATCCTTTTTTTGTGTTTCCCCCGAATCCCACTAGAGACTGCATCATCAGCAGATAGCGAAGAAAATAGAGGAAAAGCCGAGAAAATGAGTGCCAAACAAAGGGATCTGCTTGCCTTGTCACGACAAGGCTCTTGTGTCAAGTGGATGCTGTCCAACTAAGGACCTCGCCACCCCCTTTTCGACCCACTTCGACCCTCGTTAATCATGCGAATTATGCATGAAAGTGGAGTACTTAATTTCAATTGTCTAAACAACAAGCGATTGCGATGTGACCTACCAATACACTTAAAGAAAATTTGCTATTTACACTTGACTGCATCGGTGGGTGGTTGCTTGGCTTGCTTGGGTTTGTCTTTAAGTGGAATACAGTGGCCACTCGATAGAGTGTAGTTTTTGTCACATTAATTTTAAAATAAATGATGTTTTTAAAAAATATCCCTACATCCACAGGCAGCTTTTTGTTTCAAAGTCTAGATACTTAAATAATATTAAACATGGTACTCTGTTGTATTAATTCATACTAAAAATTACAAAATATACAGAAATATGGTTAAATTTAATTCTCTCGAAAGTATTAATTCAATATTAATTTTGCTGATGTAAATTTAATACTCAATAGTTTATGTAGAATTCATAGTTTTGTTTTTATGACTATATTATTTTCGGTTTTTATTAAATAGTTATAGCCCAAAGGCCACGATGCACATTTTGCATAAAACACTTTTCACTTTTTTAATAGTTTTGAAACTTATCTTCAAAAAAGTTTTTGTTGAAAATATAAAAATAATTAAAACAATAATAAAAAAATAATATTTTATCTGAAGTTTATTGGTATTGATTTCCTTGATTAGTGCCTTTATAAAAAACAAAATTTTTTAATTTAAAAACATTTTTTCTCTAGTTTACCAAAAACAGTCCCCACTGTACAAGGATAAATGTAGGAATGGCAACAGAAGATTGCATACTTAAAAGGGCGATTGCGAGCGAATTTCCCTGCGCGCGTCGACCGATTCTCCCGCTGATTTTCCCTAGCTTTCTCTGGCGCTTTCTCTCCCGTCTTCTCACCAATTTTCGCTCGCTCTTTGCTGCCTTTCACGCCTTTGTCAATTTGCAGCAACTTGTGCGCTCGTTTGACTTGGGTTAAATTGTTTGTGATTGTCGCAGCCATGTCTCTGTGTGGGTTACCAATTTCTCCTAGCGAGTGTGTGTGTGTGTCTGTGTGCGTGTCTCCTGACAGAGTTGTCAGCTGTTCGGCTTGCATTTCTCTCGGCTTCCCCGCTCGTTTCTCTCTTGCCTTTCCCATTATTACACAATTTATATTTTTTTTAGGTGTGGTTTCTGCGGCGTCTGCAACCGGCCACGCCCATAGCCCGCCGCCCACTGCCCACCTCTCAACGCCCTTCTCACGGCCACATCCTTGTGTGTCTGAGTTTTTTCTTTTAATCAATCATTATAAACTGCGAGATCAGCGAAGTGGGCGGAATAGGGGATACGACGCCTGTCGTTTGCCTTTGAAACTTTGCTTTGCATAGTTTGCTGCGCCATGTAACTGTAATTGCAACTGGGACCTTGTTCCGCTTTCCCTCGCTTACTTTCTCCTTCCCCCCCGTCTCCGTGTTCTCCATTTTATCCAATTTTTTATGCGCTCCATTTAAGAAGGGGGTTTTCTTTTAAGTAGAAATATTGGCAGCACTTACTCAAGAAAAGCTGGCATAAAGAGAAAATAAATCAAGTATTTTCAAGTGAAACTAATTGCGCTTTGTAGAATACGACTGTTGATTAAGACGAGCTTTTTTAAATTAGTTAGATAGATATTTCTAGTAATATATACTGGATTATATTTCAGCACAGCTGAATCAAAAATATCGTATATGGTTTTGTCATGACCTTGATGACAATCGAAACTACACAGAGAATAAATTAAAGATCAAGGTATTCATATCATTTTCATATGACTAAAGATTATGTTTATCTTATTTTACAATATTTGTTCAAAAAATACTACGTTTTGGTATTTTAAAACCGTATTTCTATAACTTTTATGAAATGATTAAATATCAAGTTGATATATTTTTTTTTGTGTAAAGCTCGATTAAATTAAGTTCTTTGAAGTGCAACTTTCAATTATACTAGTCCTCCTACTTCGATTTTTGCGTACGTGAGCTAATTCAGTTCTATGTTAATTAATCGCAGAAACAAGTGGAGTGCAAGGGAAACTAAAAAATAATATTAAAATTCGAATAAAATCAAAACCAACCGAAGCGAAAGCTCGGAGAGACTAAACCGAATTACCGCGACGCGAAGTGAAAAATAATTTTCGAGTAATCCATCATGGCCTGGGGCTATTGGTCCGCCACGACTGTGGATCGTGGGCGATCGCCGCGCCGCTTGACGCAGTGTGCACCACTTCCGGTCAATATAGTGCAGCAGGAGGAGGAGGAGGAGCAGCCCTGCCTGCCGCAGCAGCAGCAGCACCAGCAGCAACAGCAATCCCAGCAGCAACAGCAATCGCAGACCTGTCCCAGCACTCCGTCGGCCAATCAGCAGGGCAGTGGCAACCTCTGCTACAGCCCCACCTGTCGATCCCGCTGCTCGAGTCCTTGTCCAGGCTCGCCGTGCGGCTCCATCACGCCGCCACCCCCGCCGCTGCTCACGTCCTCGCAGCAGCACCTGCACTCCAACAAGAACTGCCCAGCAGCCCAGCAACTGATGACACACCTGGACTATGCGGCCCGCAGACAATCGCTCGACCAGCTGGACAGTCCCCAGGTATTCGGATCATTGAGGTTTCCACTTTCACCCAGAACTCAGCTTGAAGGGGTGTGGAAAGGCCAAGGAGTTGGCTAACCAAGTTCATCTGACTTATACCCAACCATACTGGTTTTTGATTACAAGTTGATGGGCAAACTGGGCAATTGTCTCCCCATTGATTACTGTTTGTGCTTACATTCCAATCAAAGCTACACGCTTTCATAAAAGCCATTGAATTTGATATATATATTTCGTAGGCTCAATTTCTAAGTTTAATTGGGCAATTGCAATAAAAACTGCATCTAGCTATTAGAAGTTACAAATTGCATCAAACAAAAATATATCAATGACTCAAATGCTTTTGTCATTTATGGAGTTATCAATTGTATACGGTTGATTACTCACAGGCAATGAAGAAATGTATACCCCATTGATAACACGCTATTTGTTCATTTTAAGACTGGTAGATAAAATTTCCATAAATTTGTACTATTTATAAATTTTAATAGCTGATGATTGAAAATCCGAGTGGTTTTTATCAGGGACCGTAAATAATCATTATTTGAGATTTTTATTTTAAAAGGCCTACTAAGATTTGTACAAGTTTTAGTCAAAAATTTAACTGGATTTTATGCACTTTATAGACATGAACAAATAACAGTTAACTTGCTTTCCAGATTTGTTGACATACATATACTTTGTGGACAATAGTAAAAAGAACGTTATTTTTGACGTTTAAAACAAAAAATCACAGTAGTCTTTTTAAAATAAAAATCTCAAATAATGATTATTTACGGTCCCTGGTTTTTATTACCTGACGAAGGTTAAATTATTTATATTTAGAATATTCGTTATCAAATTAAGGCTAGTTATAGTTTGACCTTGGTCCCTCTCATTCCACCTCAAGCTGAGTTCGACCCTAAAATCTGGCTAAGACCGCCATCACTGACCTGGTTATCCATTCTATTCTCATCCCATTCCATTTTCGAACATAATCCAGTCCAAGTACTTTGACATTCAGGCCAACCAGCTGTCGGACATCATGTGCCGCGGTGCGGTGGTCAGTTCGATTCAGTCGGCGAACAACACGCTGACCCGGGGCGTCTCCATGCACAGCCGGAGTGGCAGTGCCCACGGGAGCCACCATGGCAGCCACCACAGTCACAGTCACCATGGCAGTGCCCACGGATCGCTGGGATGCCTGCAGGGCGGCGTGGGAGTGGGCGTGGGCACTGGGAGTACGGGAAGCATTGGCATGATGTCGGCGGGTCACATCGATACGGGGGACTATGACGTGCCGCATCCGCATCCGTATACGCATCACTATATGCAAACGACGGCCTCGGTGACCCCGCCCCACACGTCGCTCAGTCGTCCGGGATCGGCGGGTGCCGTGTGCCAGGGCCACGACTCCGGATCGGATTCCAGCCAGGGCTGCGGCGGATCCATCATGGGCGGCATGCTGGTCATGGGCCATCCGGGGCACATGGGCAGCCTGGGTCACCACAGCGCCGGCAGCGGATCGCTGGGCAGGTGCTCCAGCAGGTGTCACAATACGAACACCACGACGACGGATGACTCGGGTGGTGGCAGCAGCGGCGGCGGCGGTGGAGGAGGAGTACCTGGTTCCATGGGCGGCGCCTCCATGGCCGTGGGAATGCCGGGCATGCTGATGGACTACCATCACAGCCACCACAGCGGCAGTGCCGGAAGTGGCCTCAATGGATGCGGAGGAGGCAGCATCGCTGGCGGCAGCATCGGCGGAAGGAGCAGTGTCCTGGGCACGATTCACAATGGCCATGGACACCACCATCAGCAGTATCACCACGAGTGCATCCACTACGAGCGGCTGCCGATTCCCGTGCCCATACCCACTGTGCCCATGGGCGTGGCACCGCCCCCGCAGCAGATGTCGCAGCATCAGCTTCAATCGGAGGAGGAGATCGAGCCGGCCTATGCGACAGGTAAATGGAATCGGAATATCAACGGGGTATTTGATAAAAATACAGAAGCTTACACAGGATTGTGCTCACAATTTATTTAATTTACTTAATTAAGTTATTAAAAGTAAGAAATTAAATTATATATTTTTACCTGTTTTTGTTATTTTTAAGTAAGCTTTTGTGATATTTATTTAAGTTTACTTCTGTTCCTAATATGTTAATTCGATTTTGTAAGATTTTTCAAACTCATTTATTTAAACTTATCATATATTGTAATTATACGTTTTTAAATTAAAATTGTATAAATACATTTTATTAATTTTAAATGCCTTAACGCTTGTTATTCTGTTTTTATTTTGCCCGAGTCTTTTAATAACAATCGCAAATAATACCTATTAAACAATATACCCTTGTGCGCTACGAGTAACGGGTATTATAATGGATATATTTTATAACATAATCCATACGTTGTATTATCATTAATTATTTTGGCAAATTATGGTTTAAGTTTATTACATTTGGTCCAAAATTGTGGCAGTTCGATACTTTTAGCCATCAGATTTATGACTTTCGAACGACACTGGCCATTCAGAAGCACTCCGAATTAAGTGCAATAAATTGGTGCTTATCCAAATTTATTATTTCCAATAAATTATTGATTTTCCACCGCATGCGTTGTACTTAATTTTATGGAACTGCCAGCCCCGATCTTATCGCCGAAGCCATTCGTCGCGCTCTCACTTGCTCCCAATCGGAGCAATCGGCGGTGACAATTCAATCGGCCACTTGAGGCACTTGCCTTTATTGTTCTTTTGTAGTGTGTGCCTTTTGGTTTTGGTTCTCTGTTTCTCGGTTTTCTTCTCTGTTTTTCTTTTTTTTTCTTATTTTGCCTATGCTTCTTAAGCTGAAAAGTGGCGGCGAACTCAGTTCGTAGCTGAAAGTCGCGCGGTGACGACGCTGCGCGCGTTTTTAATAGCGTTTAATTTTGCAAGAGTTGATCCGTCGACCTCTGAACTGACCACACACCCAATACATATACCCCCCAACCCAGCCCATCCATCACAATGATCATCTGGAGTGGCTTCTGCGAGGCGGCCCAAATATACAGCACACAAACGGCCACTTTTATGACCGGCGGAGCATCGTGTTAGTGAAGAGAAAATAATTTAAATTGCCAATTAATCAATGTGGATTCCATAAAGATCCACTATAAAATGTTAATTATGTGCAGTTTTAAAAAAATACCGTGCCAATATAAGATTCAAACTTCAGTTTTGCAAAGATATTATTTTAATAACGGTATTTTATAGCATATATTCTATTAATCTCAATCAGAGAACAAAAATGAAAGCAATGATAATTACTTGGTACAAAAAAGTGTTAAATCTGATACCGAAAAGTAATCAGTTCCCTTCCGTCGCGACCTTCAGACTACCTAGGTTCACCCCCCAGCTTTATGACTAATAATGCATATCGCTCGCCTTTTGTTTTTAGCTCCAGTTACCCATGGCCCTAGTCACTTTATAAGTTCTGCTCGCCTTATCTGACCAGCCAAGGCATTTACGAGGCGTAAAATAAGAACCGGCCAAACAAAAATAGCAAAAACAAGAGCGCAGTCCAAACAAATGTTGTAGGTCCTATCGCGATTGATAAGCAAAACGCAGTTGGGGAAAATATACATAGTGGCAAATGAAAAAAGAAACAAAAATTCTAGGTCAATGCGAGACATGAGGCAATATGTGGAATCTATCGGAATATTAACCTTGCAGACGGACAGGCGAATTTATTGAACCCTAGGCTCCCTGGGGCGACACTTTAATTGAATTATGAATGAGCGATGAGCGATTGTTGCCGAAGAACATATCTGATAGCTGAACAATTGGTCTCAATTGATGGCCGGTGGTCTCCCGGAAAAGCTTAATTAGCATTCCTCGGAAAAGAGCGCCTCCTCTCCTCCTCCCCCAAATCGTATCTCGTATCCCGTATCTCTCGGGCCATTTCAGTATCTCTCCCGCTCTTTATTTTCTCTATATGGTGCGTGGCACCGAGATAAGGAGCAGTGCCAGTGCTTGGAAATCGGATTGGCTCAGTCGAGGAGTGGGTGCTGACATGCCAACAGGCCCTCGGCGAAGTACAACACGTCCATGTGGCTCGGCAAGAATCCGTTTATAAGTAAAAATCGCAAAGCGAAATCTCATTAAATTGATAAGCGACCAGCGGCAGGGAAAGAGATTTACCCGATGGGCAAACTAGCCTGCCGTAAGCATGCCCTGCAATTACCACAATTGGCTGACGTGTTTAATGTTAACTATCCCCGTGCATCTATTAAAAACCATGTGTGGTGTAAAGTCTCTAACAAACATTTCTTCTCTTCTCTTTCCAGTATTCCCCAATGTTCCTCAAGCGCCGGGACTGTCTTGCGATGGCGAAGATCGTAAGTATATAAATCAGTGAATTGAAATGAAAATACTTCTGTAATTTATTTCTACAAAAATTAATTTTCCGTTCTGCGAACTTTGCAATATAAATAACATGGCTAAAGATAACTATTTGTTATTGATTCATCGTGTTTTCTGATTCATTATACCCATTCGATCCGGTTTCTGTTTTGATTTCCTTCGCGTTCAGTTTTGCCAATCTTTTTATAAAAGTTTAAAACTTAATGATTTAAAAATTAAACAGTTTTTTTTGTTGAAAACAGAGTTTTGCTTTTACTCAACAATACAAAATTATTATTAAATTAATTTGCAACTCCATATCAATTGCTGGAATCACTCAAAGAATGTGTTATTCATGATTTTTTTTTTTTTTTTTTGAAATTTAAACATTATTAATGAGTAGTAGTTTTTGCTGTTAATGTGCTATAATAAAAGAAAAGGTTTAATTGGTATCAAATTCGGCTTTAGCCTAATTGGATAGAGTGAAGTGGTTACCAACAAACTTATTGATTATGCCTGCTCTAAAAATACTTTATTTTCCAGGCAGCATCTATCGACGCGGTGCTCGACGCTGGCGCAAGTTGTATCGCGTCAATGGACACATCTTCCAGGCCAAGCGTTTCAACCGGGTGAGTGATTCCCAAAACAAAACCTCGAATATCCTCAAAGTAATCCCATAATATTCCCCCTTTTCAGCGTGCTTTCTGTGCCTACTGCCAGGATCGAATCTGGGGCCTGGGCCGTCAGGGTTTCAAGTGCATCCAGTGCAAGCTGCTGGTGCACAAGAAGTGCCATAAGCTTGTGCAGAAGCACTGCACCGACCAGCCGGAGCCGCTGGTGAAGGAGCGGGCGGAGGAGTCCAGTGACCCGATGCCGGTGCCCCTGCCGCCGCTTCCCTACGAGGCGATGGGCGGCGGGGCCGATGCCTGCGAGTCGCACGACCATGCGCACATAGTGGCTCCACCGCCGCCGGAGGATCCCTTGGAGCCGGGCACGCAGCGCCAGTACTCGCTCAATGACTTCGAGCTGATACGGGTCATCGGACGAGGCAGCTATGCCAAGGTGCTGATGGTGGAGCTGCGACGCACACGGCGCATCTACGCCATGAAGGTGATCAAGAAGGCGCTGGTCACCGACGACGAGGACATCGACTGGGTGCAGACCGAGAAGCATGTGTTCGAGACGGCCTCGAACCACCCGTTCCTGGTGGGGCTGCACTCGTGCTTCCAGACGCCCTCGCGGCTCTTCTTTGTCATCGAGTTTGTGCGCGGCGGCGATCTGATGTACCACATGCAGCGGCAGCGACGGCTTCCCGAGGAGCACGCCCGCTTCTATGCGGCCGAAATCAGTTTGGCGCTGAACTTCCTCCACGAGAAGGGCATCATCTATCGCGATCTGAAGCTGGACAATGTTTTGCTGGACCACGAGGGCCACATCAAGCTGACCGACTACGGCATGTGCAAGGAGGGCATTCGATCTGGGGACACCACCTCCACGTTCTGCGGCACACCCAACTACATTGCCCCGGAGATCCTGAGGGGCGAGGACTATGGCTTCTCGGTGGACTGGTGGGCACTGGGAGTCCTGCTCTACGAGATGTTGGCCGGACGCAGTCCGTTTGATCTGGCAGGAGCCTCTGAGAATCCCGATCAGGTTAATTAACTTATTTCCCCCCCTTGAGAGTGCGAAGCTAAGGATTTATTATTTATTTCCCTAGAACACTGAGGACTATCTGTTCCAAGTGATCTTGGAGAAGACCATTCGTATTCCCCGCTCGCTGAGCGTTCGGGCGGCCTCTGTATTGAAAGGTTTCCTCAACAAGAACCCCGCTGACCGTCTGGGCTGCCATCGGGAATCTGCATTCATGGACATCGTCAGCCATCCGTTCTTCAAGAATATGGATTGGGAATTGGTGAGTCAGAGGACGGTTGACTTTGCATTAGCTCTATGTGTCCTGGTGCACTTGTTTGTGATGATGATGATATTAGGTTTGGGTAACGAAAAAAAATGGTTACAGATTTAAAAAAAAACAATAAACAGAAAAGGTTAATCAAATTGCAAAAAATTATAAATAGGATTAGACTAATCTTAAAGTTTCAACAGGCATAGGTCAGGTCTAAAGTTGCTCGTTCAATCTATTTTATTTGTATTGCTGATAGCGATTCAACAGGGGCAATCAGTATTGAGCATCTTCTTTATTACCTTGGATATTAATGATATCTATTATTACGTATACGATTGCGCGTTAAAGATAGCACAAAAGGAGGTGCAACCGCCTTATATACCAAACCTAGACATTGGCGACCCCTATGTGACAAGCAACTTTGATGTGCAATTTACCCAAGAACCGGCTGTACTAACGCCAGATGATCCGTAAGTCATAGAGAGTAACCCGAATCCGAATGATGGCAAGTTGTGTTAGTTATTTTTGTATTCCCTGCATGAGACAAACCCTAAAAGATCTTAGTTTAGCGTCCAGAGTAACGTCAGGTAAATGCTACCATCGATCAGCCGCCTTTCGACCATATATACCCACGCATTGAACCTCTCTATCTGTCTTTAAACAAGTTGAATCCACCTAAAAATGAATTTTATCATCGTCATAATCATGCTCAAGCCGCACCGACATGAATGAGAAACCGTTTTTTATGTTTGCCCATTGGCGTGGAGTTTTTCCTAATCGATTATGATTTCTACTATCCTCATGCACACCCAAAATCACGCAGCTTGAGCGCAAACAGGTCACGCCACCATTCAAGCCACGCTTAGACTCAGATCGCGACCTGGCCAATTTCCCGCCCGAGTTCACCGGCGAGGCCGTGCAGCTGACCCCGGATGATGAGTAAGTTGAGATCTAAGACGACCCTAACTTGTATCTCTCTTTATCATTTATTGATCTCTTGTATATTGTGGTTACTAATTCACCCTGGTTTTCTTTAAATCTCAGTCATGTCATTGATAATATCGATCAATCCGAGTTCGAGGGCTTTGAGTATGTGAACCCCTTGTTGATGTCTCTGGAGGATTGCGTCTGACACCACGAAATGTGCGACTTACATCCGTATAATATGCGGGTAAGTAGTTCAAGTAAGAATATCTCGGATTTTATACTAACGCCTACTTCGTTTTAGCTCTACGGCGAGGATTCCAGTGATTACGATTCCGTGGCTGATGACTTGAGTCTCCTGCATTTGAACAGCGCAGCGGGAGCCGGTGGATCAGTCAGTAGCAATAACAATCTCAGCCAGCAGCAACATTATCGCCAGCAACAGCAGCAATATCATCCCCATTCAGCATACTCACAACAGCAACAGCAGCAGCAGCAGCAACATCAGCAGCTGCAGCAACTTCAGCAACAGCAGCAGCAACAACTTCATCATAATGGTAACAATAACATTCATAATAATCAAATGCAAGCAAATAATAATAAAAGTCTACTGCAGCACATGTTTTGCCTTCCATTGAACTAATTAAAATAACGAATTAGATAAAACAACAAGCAACAACAATGAGCCACACAGCAACAACAAGTAGCAGAGCAACAAAGAAAATTAATATGATTCTAAAAAGAAAAAATTTCATAAATATACTTACTAATATAATCCTCTCTCACAACAGACAAAACTTTCGTAAGCAAAGTATATTTATTATATAAAATGAAAAACCGAATGAGAAACCGAAACAGTCACAAGTTGCAAGTATTACACTAAACGACATAAAGCAAAACGATTACTTTACTATTTAAGCACCTAGGCAGCCAGGCAAACTTTATGCAAGCAAAGGAAAAACCATTTCATAACTCAATGCAAGACTTTTCACCACGAAACTTAGGGGCAGTGCTCCCGCAAGAAAGCAACAAGAACTTTTTAAGCTAAAAATACGTGCATCAAATATAAATATATAATTTTTAACGGTTTAACACTAACAAAGGACATTTCAAATTTAATTTTACTAGCCAGAAAGTGCGAGGAGGAGGAGCAGGACAGGAGTATATATTTCAAAGGAATCAATCTATAATATCTAAGCATAAATAAACTCTAATGTAAAATGTGTGTGTGTTAGTATTAGAGAGCAGAGCATGGGTTTTAAAAGCGACAGCAAAAGATCGACATATACGTGTACTGTGAACAGCAATAGTTATTTAAAACAGAATACCACAAATTGTAATTTCGTAATTCTAATTTTTACACAGAGAAAAGTTAACCGAATTCGGGCGAGAATTCTCTTACAATGCGAACAAAAACATATTTATTTATTGTATTCATTTTGTATTATTTATTTATAAACGAAAAAACAAGCTAACACAATCCGTCTACTGGCAATATATCTTTGTTAAGTATTAAAGAAACTTTTGTTTTTTAATGCATTCCACTGTACTTACAACAACAAATATATGTATATCGTTTTGTTGTTTTACGGAGGCATAACTTGATGCCATCGCAAAAATAAAGGATATTTACAAATTTTAAGTGATGAGTACTTTTGTCGAAAATAAAATCAAAATGCACATGTTTTTGATTTACTTTTTTGTCGTATTCCGCGTACATTTTTAGCCTAATGTTTAACGATATATATACAAATTAAACTTAATACAAAATTGTATATTATGTTTTTGTAACCCCAACATACAAGTATTGAGAAATTAATTAAAATTAGTATACATATATCAAAAATATCATTGTGTTGCGAAGGTAAATAAATTATTGTGTTTTTAATTGAAACTAAAGATAAATTTCAACAAAAATGTTACTTGTTAATGTATGAAAAGCAAATAAAAGACAGCAAATTAAGCGCATATTGTTAAATTTCCAAATACAACGCAATCTTAAAAGTAATATTGATCAAACCGAGTTTTTGATTAAACAAAATAGTAAGCAATCAATTTAAATGCAAAACAAACAAGACGAACACTAAATCAATTTCAAATTGCACTTAACGGTTACCGAGTTGATTAAAAACGACATTTATTCTTTAGCCTATCCCATTAATTATGTTGTTGTGTTTGATAACCAAGTTCTATGAGTAAGTTTAATTAGTATATAATGATTTTAATTGTGCGTATACATAAATTTGTATTTTCTTCAACTGATGTTTCCAACTGATTTTGTAAACTGGATGCACTTTTGGCATAAATTACCAGACGCTAGCAAAATGTCAAAATGAAATTGAAAACGTAAACGATAGTTGCGTTGCAATTATGCATATAAACAAAAACGAATAAAGTACTGTATAAGAAAAAGTTTGTGTTTTAATTAGTTTGAAAACAATTTCCGCAAAACTTTTATTAACAACTGGGAAAAACTCAACAAATGCAAAACGTTATCCTATCGTGTGGTTCTGGGGGTCGGGGTCCTCAGTTGCTCTGCAAAATGGAGACCGGCTCTTGCATAATCTCCTGAATCTTCGCCTCCGGAACTGGCACCCCATTCGCCAGCAGAGTGTGAACGATGCCATCATGTTTATTGCCACTTGAGCGTGCCTGAAGCACGAATTCCGTGTCCTGCAGCAGGAACTTGGTGTCTGTGCCGCCGTGAACGAAAACCGACTGCGAAATGGGGGTAATAAAGTGTATGGAAAGAGTGTGGAGGAACCGGAAGCCATCCCTTACCTCCTCGGTGCGCAGCTCGTCGTTCACGAACAGACTCAGCGTGTCCAGCTTGAGCATTATCCTGTATTCCTGCGCCGCCTCCGCAGCCGAATCGCATGTGTATAGCCACAGCCGATACTGCCGCGTCATGTCCTCGGTGTACTGCTCGTGGGACTTGCCGTCGATGTAGAGGGAGTACTCGTACTTGAAGCCCGGCGCAGGATCAACGCGTATGATGCAGCGCGTCTGATCAATGTGAAACGTGTCCTCGCCAACCAGTTTGAACATCCAGTCGCGACGCAGGACCTCCTGTGGTATTTAATGACGGAGGTTTAATTTAATTTAATTTTTATTTTTTTTAATATCCCGATGATGTAAGACTACGACTTTTTGATTAACATCGGTCACTTTGTGGCTGGTATAAAAATTACTTAAGAACTTTAGGTACATTTTATTTAAACAAAAATTATTTTGACAATTAATGGATTTTACAGAAAATTACATTTGTCCTTATTAGATAGGAAAAGATAAGAACATTTTGTGCCCTTCAAATAAAAAAATAAAAAATATTAATTAAATTTGTCAGTAGCTCTTACCAATTACCAAGTAACTAGTAAACTTACGCAACTAAAATTTGGTAAATTTACGCTTTTACAGTTAGTAAATTTGTTTCAAATCAATCATACGCACTGTTGACTTTGATTTATTTATTGCATATTGTGTCTTCTGGATTCCGTAATAACACTTAAGGCAACTTACAAACATTTAATTTGGATCAGGGACCGTAAATAATGATTATCGATGTATTTTTCAAGCAAAAAAATCATCCACTTGGAAAAGCAGTACAAACAAACGAATTATACCAATCGGCTACTATTTGTGTGCTCTATCCATATCCGCAATGATCTTTTACTTCTTGAGTTTTATACATTTTACTCCATTTTAATAATTATTTGTTGAGTTTTTTTCAATCGCTCAAAGAATAATTATTATTATTGTGAGCAAAAAAAATATCGATCAAAAAATAATGATTATTTTTTGAGCGTTATTTTTTCGCTCAAAATATCGCTTAAAGTGGGATATCTCCTTTCTCAGTAGTTTCTTTGGAAAAATGTTTTCGCAGCACTATAAAGTGAACCTCGACGACCCCACAAAACCTCATTTTTAGATTTGAAAAAAAAGTTAAAAAAATAATTTTTTATATATATGGAAGAGCGATATTTTGAGCGAAAAAATAACGCTCAAAAAATAATCATTATTTTTCAATCGATATTTTTTTCGCTCACAATAATAATAATTATTCTTTGAGCGATTGAAAAAAACTCAACAAGTAATTATTAAAATGGAGTACAATTTATAAAAATCAATAAATAATCATTAAATATTGATTTTTATTATATCACTTATAATGATTACGGTCCCTGATTTGGATTAAAGTCCATTAAATTTAGTTCGAGTTAAGTGTGGGTTTAATGACAATAAGTTTAAGTAATAAACACAAACTTAATGAGGACATAATTTTTTATTTCTTATGGGAAAGTGGAACTGCGGAATGTCGCTTAAGGGCGACAGAAGTTTATGCTTAATATTAGTATATACTAGCTGTCTTCTACCATTGCCTTTTTTATTTGTTATGGTCGGCACCACCTTTTTTGCCTTTAGATGGTAAGTTAGTAATTTGTTATTTAATCTACTTCCTCAAATTTTCCTAAAAATGTAATAACCCATCATAGTCGTATTAATTCCTAATAATTGTGCTGGGTTTTTGTAAAGGCCATGAGTTCACGGGGGAGTCAAAAGTAATTCACTTAAACAAGTACATACATGCACACACTCGTAATTAAGTTCCCCTTTTACAATGCAAATACTTCAACAGCTCCGAAGCCACCCATTTAGCCCCCGCCCCGTGAAAAGCTAAAAAACTTACCCGTCCATTGACCCAAATCATGCGCCGCCCACTGGTTGTGCCATGTTCCAGCTCGATGCGGTACATCTGCGCAAAAACAGGGAGGACAATTATCAGGAGTTTTCATCAATTTTCGTTGCGGCTTTGAGAAAGAACACTCTTGAATACCTTGCCATTGATGGGCACACACCACTGAGCCACGATATTCTGTTTGTTGTAGCGCTGGTCCTCGGGCACATGATCCTGCGTCATCGTGGGCTGCGTGGACAGATTCTCCAGGCGCAGGGTGGGCGAGAGAAAGGACATGGGGCTGTGGCCTCGCGACGATCTGGCTCTGGCTGTGGCCCCACCGACAGCCAATCAATAAATCCTATTAATATTTATAGTAATCGCCTTTAAAGTGCAGCCAACGAAGGGGGTTACACAACCCGAAGAGGTGATATTCCGGGGAGTTCAAGGAACCCTTATGCGGGGCAACTTGTGTAATCTGCAGATCTGCAGTTTGAATGCGCCTTCCACCTTTTGTTTAGACCCCAAATCGGGCTAGATTTTATTCCGCTTTCTGGCTTCACCGGGCGGCGAGTAAACCGCAAGACCGAACCGCACGTTGTTAGCGCCAATGGCACACTAAACAACAAACCCGTGTACAATAAAAGCCAAAGGAGGAACTGAAGAAAAACAAGAGAGAACGCTATAGTCGGGTTGTTGTCCCGACTATCTAATACCCGTCACTCAGCTAATGGGAGTGCGAACGCTGTGTCGGGTTGGTGTCCCGACTAATAATCGTAACTCAGCTAAAGGGAGTGCGAGGGAGATAGATATATAATTTTTGATTGCGTATAACTTTTTAATGAATGGTCCGATTTGAAAAATGTCTTCTACATTTCGATAGGTATAAATATACACAACAAAATTGCATTTATACTTCTCGGAAATCTTTAAAGATGTGGGCGCAGGACCCATTTTAAAATCGTTAGTGGGCGATTGTGGGCGTTAGAGGGGGCGTGGCGCTCGGCTAAAATAAACTTGCGCTGCGTAGGAAGCCAAAGAATATGTGTGGGAAATCTCAACCTTCTAGCTTTTGTAGTTTCTGAGATCTCAGCGTTCATACAGACAGACAGACGGACAGACGGACAGACGGACAGACGGACAGACGGACATGGCTAGATCGACTCGGCTAGTGACCCTGATCAAGAATATATATACTTTATGGGGTCGGAAACGCTTCCTTCTAGCTGTTACATACTTTTGCACGAATCTAGTATACCCTTTTACTCTACGAGTAACGGGTATAACTAGTTGGCCCGGCTGCCTGCTGCCTGCCGCCTTTTGGCCCGGCTCTCCGGTTCTGTTCAGTTCTGGCCTGGCTCGGCCCGGCGCAAGCTTCAGCTGTGCTTCTGGCCGAGAGTCGCGGTCGCGTTTGTCGGTCTGCCAAAGTGAAGGCAAAGTGCAGAGCAACTACGCCGCATGGCGCCAAAACAGAGTTGATTTGTTTCCACTAGCCGTGCGTGTGGATATAAGTTTGAGTGTGTGCACAGGGAAAGCCCCCATAAGACGTACACAAACTTATTCGTAATTGTTCGAAACAATTTGAGTAATATAAGCTGATGATAGAGGTTGGCCTTTGGTTTGTAAGAAAGGCTTTATTTTCAAGCTGGTCTTCTGGCTTGTACTTCTCGTCATGATTCATAAAGTTTAACTTTAATAGATAAAAATGAGTTTCTATTTTGAATTCTAATTAAATGATTCAATGTTTTTAAAGATTTTTTAAAAAGAAAATTATATTTTTAAACATTTTGTGGTGACACAGAAATCACTTCAAACCAAAATCAGACATAAATAAAATTTCTAACCTTTTTTGATTGGAAAAGATTTTTTAAAAATGTCCGTTATTGAATAAAACTACTAAAAAACCCTCCAAGTAGGTAATGTTAGAACACCACTAGAAAAACTTAGAACACATGTCGAGAATCAAAATTTTAAAAAATAAAAGAAAGGATTATGTAAACCATTGCCCTGATTATTAAGAATTCCGATGTCTTGTAGCTAGTCTTCACTGTATCCACTTCTCAATACCCCGCCGAGTGTCGCTCGCATAAAAATAAACTTTGCCCCGTCAAGTATGCAATTGTTTCTGCATTGCAATTGCCCCTCCTTTGAGAGTGAGCCCGCTTGGTCTGGGCTTTCGCCAATGCCGCCGGCCTCCAATTGAGCGTAAGCCAAACAATATTCGTGCATACATATTTTATTCCGGATGACAATTATTTGGCCCTGGGGGATAGAGCCGCCACTGTGCTGAAACTGAAGCTGAAGCGCCTGCCACATGGGCAATCGTCGCAAATTTGTCGCATTTTGTTTTGTTGTCATGTTTATGGCGCAACATTTTCTGGCCATAAATACACGCCGAAAATGCTAATGACCGATTGGGGTGGGTTAGTGGGCGACGGGTGATTCCTGGGTGCCAACGGACGTGAAGACTTGCCGCCTCCGGGTGGTATTTCAATCGACCAGAAGCGATATTGATAAATGTATTTGGGCCAGATTGGATAAGGAGTCGACGGCGAAACGGGCACATCATATGTCAAATCAAGTTTCCCAGGACTTGGGCTCTATATGTATGTAGCCCCCTCTTCAGCCCACTCCCCTTCAAGTGGGTGGGTGGCAAGAAAAACATATGCCATCGCCCCAACACGCGAAGGTCACTGACAAAGCGCCGTTTGAAGTCGCTTACAGTTTTAGTTGATGTTGACGCTATCAAAGGGGCGAACAGTGGGTTGCCATGGGTGGGCTTTCGACTTTCAGTGTGTGTGTGCTGGTGTGTAAAAAAAGAAAGCGGGCGCTCGACAACAACAACAGCTCCAGATAACGAAACATTTGACAAGGACAAGGCTGCCCCCACCCGTCAACTCCCCTTTTTTCAGCACGAAGCTCCCCAGAGGCAGTGTGTTAGTGTAATTATTAGTGCCGTACAAAATAAATATGTCCGTATATTCATACAAACCTCCTTTTTTTGACGTTCGTCCGCGAATCCAGAGGCTATATCACTGTGGTTGTTTTGTTTAAAAAAATGATCAATTTACTACATCACATGTTCCCTCTGTAAGAACTGAATTTAACATTTAAGCCAACAAATAATAAAAAATTACAAATTACAAAGAAGGAAAGACTACAAATAATTTATGTTTTTGCATTATTGGACATTAATTTTGTGATCCTTCCTATGGTAACTATTTTATATAATCCTCCGATTTTTATTAAATTTTATTTTAAGTTCTGAAATATTTGCTTGTTCTTATAAATTTTCCGATCGTTTCTATGGCAGCTATATGATATAGTTTTCCGATTTTTCTTTAAACTGAGACCCTTTGCAAGGTTTTACAAAACTAACGAATTACAAATGTTGAATATATGTTATTTACTTCTTCGTAATTTTCTTTTGATCGTTCATTTAAAGAAGATTTTTCCTTTTTAAGGAGTATTTGTGGCTATCTAATTTAATAAACCTTCAAAAGCCTTATTAAAACATTCAAAGAAAAAACAATTTGCTTATTTAATTTCTTCCTGTAAATACCTGTATTTCAGCAAAAGTGCCTCACTTTTATCGTTTTCAGCCCATCGTCCTCGCTTGCGCTTTTTACGCTGACTACTTTCCAGTTGAATTTATGGACCATTCCGCTGGTTGTACACTTTTTATGCAAATATATTTTCCCAAAAGTGCCGCAACAGACAACATTCGGTGGCGCTGTCGCGATGATGTTGTAGCTAGTCCTGCGGAGCCAGGGGACAGGATATGCAGGGAGTGAGTCGACCTGGAGGATTGGATTGCGTGCTTCGCTGGTGTCAGCCGACTGGCACACTACAAATGTCGCCGACAATTAATTTCCATAGATAATTGCCTGTCGATAACGACAGCGGCAGCCGGGACATTAATCAGGCCGGCTGTTGGGCTGTTGACTAGGTGGTTTTTGTTCTTGGCCCTTTGGGCGGCTGGATAAGATTTAATCAAAAACTATGGCGAAATGACAAAGTGAAAGTTGTATTTCAGTGATTTGTGGTAACGCTCTTAAATCAAATTGAATTGGCAAAATGTGTGCGCTTGCTTAAGTTAGCTAGATTCGTATGTGTGTGTGGGCGTGTGTTCTTCAATAATGCACATATGTATGACTATGTATTAACGCTATGAATATAGAAGTGCTTAACTTTTGAATGTGTTTAACCAGATAAATAATAATACTGATCACAACGCCAATAGTGTGAGAATTCAGTTTGTGTTATAACAGTTCGCCATTGAAAATAATGTTTGACACTTCGATCGATTGGACAATAAATATAGAGTATTCGTATTATGTAAATATATATAGAATTTATATTGCTGCACCATAACAACTAACATAAACAGCAAATATCCTTTGTAATCAAGTAATTGATCTATACATATAATTTTGGGAACAAATTTGAACAACGCTGGGCGTAAAATAGGCGCTAGTTGAAGGTAATTTGTCTGATTATCGCGAGTATATATATGAGTGCGTATATATACCTATAATCGACGCTAATTGCACTATTTATTTGTTATGCTGTTACATTCCACTGGCGGTCTGAATAAGTGTCGCACAACTTGAGATAAATCTACGCATCGTGATTATGGAGTACAGGTTATTTATGTATGTCTAGAACTCATAATTGACACAACATATTATTGCCTTGCCTAATGTTTAACTTAACTATTTACAAAAGATACCGATTAAATACTGATTAATTAAATTAAACTTTGATAAATATAACTTAATGGTCGTTTCGCTTGGATTATAAAACAACTTTTTTAAAGTCAAATCATAAATGCACTTCTGTTTCGTTCAATTCAAATTTTGAGAATACTTTTCAAGGGCTATAACTACAAATTTTGGCCGTATTGTGGTATTATTCTTCTAATGAGTACGGGGAATACTTCATTTAGGTGTAGAGAAAATGGCAGTTTGGATTTATCTAACTATCTAATATACGAAAAGCATGGGATCCTCTAGCTGGCGATTGTGCTCTATGACTGATCGTTCGACCGCCAGTATGGAAGGGAACTATGAACTAACATTATGATAGGTCCAAGTGGTTTTGATCCGATATCGGCGATGCTGCTTATTTGAAAAATGCGTTAGAAAAATGCACAAAAAGTCTTCGGTCTCGGGGATGGGAATCGGCTTAGGTCGGTAAACAAATGGTCCATCATTTTCTCGATAACATAATGTTCATGACCGTGCCGCAGTTAAGCAGCACTCGTTTGGCATCGCTCAGCTTGGCATTGGTCAGGTCGTAGCCGTCTATTTCGAGCAGCTTATCGTTGAGGTTCAGCAAGCGGGCAGCATTCGTATTTGGCGTTACGGAGCTCACAAAGATGCCAACCTGCAGGGAAAATAGTAATTAATGATAACTGATTTCAGCCTGAAAGGATCCCAAACTCACTTGATTAAGCAGCTCTGCTATGTCGAAGCCGATGCTGTGCTCCCACTTGAGGGTGACCTGTTTGACTGTTGGATTCTTGTGAACACCAAAGATCCAGGTGGATTTCTTGTGGCTCGCTTTGGAAGTATTGTTAGTGGCCGTGGAATTAAGCGAGTGCTGCGACATCGTGTCGTCCAGCTCCTGTTCGTCCTCCTCCGGATTTGGTTCTAGATTGCTGCTGATATTGTTTTGGTAGTCCAACTGATCGACTGACTCCTCGTCTTCCTGCGCGCCAATCGCTGTGGTCTTGAAGTTGCTATTGCTATTCAAAGCATCTTGGTAGATAGTCTGCTCCTGCAATTGTTGCTGCTTCCGCTGCCGCATGGACTCGTAGAGGTTAAGATCCTCCGGTGTTTTCTTCGTGTAAACTCGAGCTATGTGATAGGGTGGTGGTTCCAATCGAGGCTGGGGCAACGCCTGCTGCTGCAGAGGCTGCAACTCGTAGTCCTGATCCCCGTTTAAATGCGTGGTGGGAAGCGGCGTGTTGGCCTCCACGTAGAGCTGTTGGTAGTGCGACTCGTAGTTGACGAGTGGAAGACCGTAGTACTCCTGTGTCGGCATTGGATGCGCCATCTGCTGCGGCTGCTGATAGACTCCGTAGATGTGTGTCGTTTCGGGCGTTATGCCGTATATTGCACTCGCTGTGGCCTGGTCCACAACATCCTGGTTGGCATTGCTGCTATCACAGTGCACCTGACCGTTGGCCACCACACGTGCCTCCCTCACCTCGCTGGCACTCGCCGAGGTGGTCGCCGCCTGAGCCTGCCTCACGTACTTGGCCATCTGGCGCAGCTCCTTGGGATACGGCGTGGGCGAACGCATGAGGCGAACGGATCCGGCCATTTGATCGGGCGTCGGAGTTGGCGGAGCGGCCACAAAGCTGGGATAGCTGGGCGCTGGCTGTGCTTTGGCATTGCTCAGAATCGTGGCCTCCTCGGCAAAGCAGATCCTCCTGGAAGGACTCACATGGGGCTGCTGCTGGTTGGCGTAGACGAACTCGTACTGCTCCTGGGCCTGCTGTTGGGCCTGAATACTGTTCATCTTGAACGTGACTTGGGGCAGCATAAAGCACGTCAACTGCGTCTTTGTACTCGCATCAAGATACTGCAGCGGCACCAAAGGCTGCGACTGATTGTCGCTCAGCCACATCGATGTGAGATTCACCAGATTTAACATCGACACGGGCAAGGCATTTATGTAGTTATTAACCACATTGAGTACCTTCATCTTGCCCAGGTTCCCTATATTCTGTGGCAGGGCGGACAACTGATTGTTGGCCACGCTCAGCACGCTCAACTGCTGGCAGCTACACAGCTCATCCGGCAGCTGGCGCAGTTGATTATCATCGGCGAACAGAAAGCGCAGGCTGCGCAGCATCCCTATCGTGCTGGGCAGGCGAATTAGCTTGTTGTGGCTCAGCACCAGTTCCTCTAGCTGCTCCAAATAGCTTATGCTGTCGGGCAGCTCCGTCAAGCCGTTCGATTCGCACTTGAATGTCACCAGCGACTTTAGCATGCCCACGCTGAAGGGAAAGGCCTCCAGGCTGTTCGAGCATATGGACAGCACCTCCACGTTCCGCCAGTTGCTCAGCTCGCTGGGCAGAGTGTCCAATAGATTCCCATTGGCCTCAAAGTGCTGCAGCTCGCGCAGCTTGCCAATGTTGGCCGAAACGCGGCGTATTTGATTGAAGTCGATCCAGAGTTCGCGCAAGGACTTTAGCTCGCCAACAACCTCGGGCTATGGAGGAGATATCAGTTAATTTGGTTGCTACATATCTAGTGAATACCCTATGTTTCCATCCTCACCAGCTCTGTAAACTCATTGCCACCGATGTCCAGCCTTTGTAAGTTGACCAAACGCACCATGGACTTGGGCAGCGTGATGAGATTGTTGAGTCGCAGCTCCAGAATTCGCAGATTGACCAACCGCCCAAAGTTGGCCGGCAGAAACTCCAGGTAGGTCTCGTTCAGCAGCAGCTCCTGCAGCGAGATGAGCGAGGTAATGGCATCGGGAAGACGTTGCAGGCTGTTGCAGCTCAGATCCAGGTGGGTTAAGTGCTTGCAGGACTTGATCTCCTCGGGCACATTGACAATTACTAAGGGGGCAATATATTTAGTAGGGTTTGGGGGGATATTATGTAGGAATTCTCACGATTCCGGTTGAGATCCAGATGCTGCAGCTGTCGCAGACTGCCGATGGCCTGCGGAATGCTCTCCAGATTGTTGCTGTTCACGTGTAGCACCCTTAATCCCTGGCAATAAAACAATTGCGGGGGCAGAGCTTGCAGCTGGAAGATAATGAGGTGGTAAACAAGGTGCCCAGATAAGCTCGACAGGTGTACTTACTCTGGTGGTGCTCAGATAGAGCTCCTCCAGGGTTCGCTCGTGCTGCCAAACTTCTGGGAAGTCGGTCAGCGGGGTATTACTGTAGTCCAGCTTGTCGATCACCTCCTCGCGCTTGAACTTGAAGCAGGGGAAGCATTTGCTCAGCAGCGGCATCTTTGGGTTAAGTTTATTGCTTTCGTTCGTTAGTTAAGGCACGGTTGTGGCTGCTAAAAAAATAAGTAAATGCTTTTGAGTTACCCGACTGGGATTGGGGTCGCCACATCGCCCAACTCACCTGTGAGTCATCGCCTCCAATGGAACGCTATTGTCCTGCTCCATTACATTCCATGTCCATTGGCATTTTTGGGCTTGTTATTGTTCTGCTTCTGCCCACCAACACTAACGCGCACTGCACACTCACCCGCACTCGCATACACACAGACGGGCGACTTGGCGAGCCTCTCTTTTCGGCTTTTCGGGCATTTACCATCCATAAATTGGTGATTTTATCATTTACTCAACCGCTTCATGCCGACCCCGAGTGGGTGCTGTTTGTTTTGGCCATTCAAATGCGTTTTATTTAATGTTTTTCGCTTTGAAAACGACAAGTTGCTTGCAGGTGTTAGTGTTGTTAAGTGCCGAACGCGCTAGTGATGGCAAAGCACTGATACACCTTTGCACGGCTATCGATAGTTTAAGATATTTGAAATATTTAAAAATTTCATAAATTGGTTAGCTGAGGAAATCAAAAATGTATCTGATATCTTGGGCGAATAAAGTAATTTATATTAAGAATTAATTGCCTTTATAAATAAAGTTGTATGTCATCTTCAAACTATCGATAAATTCAAAGACATTTATAATATGAAAAACAGGTGGCGCCACAAAGAAGCCGTTACTTTTCAAACAGGTGAAAAATCAAATGTTACGAAAACATGGCAGGCGCTCATGCATTTTTTCTCAAAACGTTTTACCCTTTGCTAATTAATATTTACTCTACACTTCCTGGGTTTGCGATTGCGCTTGGGTAAACTGCGTCTGTCGTGTGTTGTCACAACTGTTGATAACGGCATGTTGCTAACTTGGCAATAAAACAAATAACAATAAGCGAAATCAAGCGTTTTTGAAGTTGCAAAGTTCAAATGGGTTAATGCGAATTCCGGTCAAAACCAACCAATTAAAGCTGAGCTCACACTATCCCCAGACTTTGACTTAAAGTGTCGTCAGGTTTCGTGTGTTTCGTTGGTGTGAAAATTATTCAAATAACGGCTCTTTTTTTTTAGCTTTTTCTTTGGTTTTTGCCGTATTGCCGCGTCGTCGGCGGAGCATTGACGAATTTACACTTCAAACAATTGTTAAACTGTACAGCATAGTGCAAACAAGTACGTAATAAACAATGTGCTTGTTGCCGCTGCCATTTGCAAGAGAAAAGTTGTGCGGCTGCGGATAAGCTCAGTTTCGGTTTAAAAGTTGTCAGCTGCAGTTGAATCGGTTTCCGTATCGGTCGATGTGATGTGAGTGCGGGTGATGGGATTGCTGTTCAAATCTTACTGCAATTTGGGTTATACCAATAGAATGATGCGTATTCGCATTGATATTTGAATATGCAACTTAGTGTTAAACAATTTTTATCTTACATAACAGACGTAACAAATAATGTTCGAGGTTTGAGTTTTTGAAACCCTTTTTTATGGAACATTGTTGTCTCAAGAGTGAAAAGATTTATTTTGCTTGCAATGGTGGAAATGTGAAAAATTACGATTTTAAGTTAATGTTAAATTGGGTATCCTTCCAAAATGTTGTGTTTAAATTATATATATGGATAAAAAAAGAAGCTGTCAAGTTCATAGTGCTGTTTGATTAACACTTTTAATTACAAGCTTTGGCAATGATTGTTTAAAGGGCTCTAAAAGGTAACCCTGTCTTTCGCAGGTTTGCATTAAAAATTAACAAACATCTGCTAGGCTTTCACGATTATTAAAGGTGAACAGTTTAAATTTATTTGTTTGAAGAGCTTGTAACATGTTAATAAATGGCTATTTATAGGCTGATATGGTACATTTAGGTTAACTTCCTTCTCCTTACTCCTTATTTCCCATCGTTTAGATTAAATTATTCATTCAGGTGTGTCCCTGAAAACTATAACAATCAAAAAACAACTCAAAAGCAATTGTTGGGTTCCTTCAAAAATGTTCTGACATTTCCATAGCTAGAGGCGTTTTGAAGAACATTTCAGTAGGCTTTTTAAAATTTTTTCCTTTGTAGCCCATATTCAAAATCTTTTTGACATAAAAAACCCGACATTTGTATTGCTAAAAACAACCCCCTGATATGTCGGTGTCCCCGAAAAAATAGAGGTTTAAGTTTGCTTTTTGACACGCACTTGTATGAAAAACAACATAAGGGCTACTTAGTTTCATCCGATACATTTGAATTTCTTTCGATCAGCATTTAAAATTAAGCCGCTGAACACATAATCCAATGCATTTTGTTAAATCTTCTTCAAAATTAATTCGAAAAAAGGTTACCAAAGCCTTGGACATTTATGAAAATGATGCAGATATTTTCAAACTTACAAACTGAACCAAATGTAGAACGAAAAAAATTGACATTTCAAAGCATCAAATTCAGGTTTGAGGGAACCCGACAATTGTTTTTCTGTTGCTTTTGATTGAGACAACAAGGAAAACAAGGGAGTTTCTTAGTTGTTTGTTGTTTTTGAAAGCAACTCTCCGAAAAAACTCTAGTGTTTTCTGGGACACACCTGATTGACACAATTCTCATGGAACAATTTACAATGTAAATCACCTGTCGACAGTGGCATAAGCTGAATTTTCGTAGAGGGGCATAATGTCTCAAACAATTCTTTGACAACAAACAAGGTTAATATATATCAAACAGCTATAATACTACTAGTATTTGATGAAGCAGTGGAACCCCCAAAAATCCGTAAACCCCTTTGGGGGTACGTATAAATACGCCCATGTCTGTCATTTCGGAGCGACACATCGCTCAAAATTCAAGCATGACTCACACTATCGCACGCACAGAAAATACAGATAACAGAAAGAGAGCAAGGAAATGCAGAAGGGTGTGGGAGAATAACACCCCTAAAAAGCACATGCCCACCACTACCAAAACTTTTGACTCTCTTCCTAGTGGGCGTACTTTCACCCCCTGAGCGAAACGGTTGTTGCAAGGAGAGTTTGGTCTTGTTGGATTTATTTTAAAATAATTTCCTTTGCATAGACTTCATATCGTCTTGTTCGATTCAGGGAGGATCCTAGAAATTCAGGTGGAAATATTACTTCTTCTTGCCTTTGCCCTTTTTGGCGCCCTTCGCTTCCTTGGCGGCTGGTTCCACGGTGGCAGTCGACCCAGAAGTCACAGGATCAGCGGTCGGTTTCGCCCCCGCAGGAGCTGCAGCTCCCTTCTTGGGGCCCTTGGTCGAATCTTTCTTTGCGGGCATTCTAAAGGAACAGTTGAAAATAAAAGATTACATTTTAATATCATCAAAATTACACAAAAAAAAAAAAAAAACTTTGTTACAAACCTAACAAGAATTTGGAACAAAACACAGAAAGATTTTCACTCGAACACGGTGTTAAGCGCTTGAAATTCCGGTACAAAGTGATTCCTTATGCGATTTTAAAATACATTTCTAAATCAAAAATCAAGGCTTGCTTAGGGAATTGGATAAGAAATATAATTTAAACTTCAACCGTTTCGTGAATCGGTTAATGGTTCGCGCCTGTTTTGGGGGCGGACTCTCTTGTTTCTCTCCGTAATTCTCGGGTTCTCTATATCTCGCTCTCTCTCCGTCCGTAGTCTCATTATTTCGATTTCCGTGCAGTTGAGGGAACGAAAGCCAAGTGCGCGCAACATAGCCGCATAATTTTCTAGTGCAATTTCTATTTAAGTAATTTTAGTTTTTAGCGCAACGTGATTTTCAATAGCTTAGCAATCATTCATAAGTAGATAAACCGTATTGAATAAAAATAAAGGACCTCCTGTATCCAATTAGCAGGCTGCGCTTTTCCTGACGCCGCCAACAAAAAAGTAATCACACCACTTATCGATTTTGCGCCCATGTGAAAGCGCTGGAAAAGTGTCTGCAATTTCCTAGAAATACTAGTTTCTGCCCAGCTAAGTGCAACAAATCGCCGATATAATGGCAGCCAAGCGGAATGCAGTGACCACGGAAGCTCCGGAATCGTCGGCGCCCGGCGAAGGTACCGCCCTTGCCCTGGACTCCCGCCTCTCGAAAAGCGTGGAGAGCGTCATTCCCAAGAAGCGGTGAGTGCCCAGGAGAGCTCAAATATACAATTTAAGCACTGTTCACACGGGAAATTTACAGTTTAATATTAAAATTTTCTGAATAGGGACATGTTTTTTAGAATAATTTCTACACATATTATATTGAAATATAAAAGATTTCACTTTTATTTTAATATTTCCATTTAACGGGTAACCTTTTTAGAATAATTATAGATTTTAAGTCCAGACATTAGTTTTCAAGATTTATAATTTCATTACCTACATCGAATGAACTTACAACTTAAAAAGAATAACCTCACCTACACCTCTTACCATACGTAGATACAACATGTTTACATTTATTATCATATTATTTTTCCTCGCTTTAGATAACGCATTCTGAAAAAAAGTAAAAATGTAGGTAATGGGAATCAGGGTTATATTTACATTTCACTTTTCGAGTAGTCAACAAATTAAAAACATTGAACCTACCATAATTTAGATAATCCAGTCAGTCGGCCATTTGATAAATTTTTTATGATTTACTTAAACTTTAATGAATGATTAAATGTTATTTTTAAAAACAGTCATGAGGCCCTGAAATGGTTTGGCTGGGGCTACAACGACTCGCAGTTCTATGGCCAGGATGGCGTCATCTGTTTTCGCGGTGAAAGGTGAGTTGACCACATTTAAATAGCATTTAAAAGGTATATAAACACTATCGTCCCCCCACAGATATCCCCTTGGGGGCTGTGAGCTACCCAGCTTCACCAAGTGGGTGGAGAAAAAGTTCGATCTGAGAGTGGATCCCACCAAGCCGTATCCCCAGCTGCCGAGATCGTATCCACGCACAGTGGAGAATGCACCCTTCCTGCGCGAACTGAAGGGCACCACCAAGGTGGATCACTCCCTGGAGGGAATCGATCGGCTGGTGCGGTGTCATGGCCAGACCCTCAACGATATATACAGCCTGTGGCACCACAAGTTCCAGAGGATTCCCGATCTGGTGGTGTGGCCCCGGTGCCACGATGAAGTGGTCCAGCTGGTTCGCCTGGCCCACAAGCACGATGTGATGCTGGTGCCTTTTGGGGGAGGAACGAGTGTTTCGGGAGCCATCACCTGTCCGCAGAACGAGAGTCGGATGATCTGCGCCCTGGACACCTCCCAGATGAACAGGCTGCTGTGGCTGAACCGGGAGAATCTCACCGTTTGCTTCGAGTCCGGTATTGTGGGTCAGGATCTGGAGAGGGTGCTGCGAAACGAGGGCCTAACAGTCGGCCACGAACCGGACTCCTACGAGTTCAGCACCCTGGGAGGCTGGGTGGCCACCCGAGCGTCCGGCATGAAGAAGAACGTCTATGGCAACATCGAAGATCTGGTGGTGC